GGTAGCCCATGGCAACCCACTGCAGCAGGGGCTGCAGCCTATGCCGTCGCCGGCGACTCACGGCAGCCCAGCTCTAGGTTGAGTTGTTGTTCAGCATCTTAGCTGTGAAGGGCAGTGTACTGGCCCTCATATGTGGGATCCGAACCGGGGCCCTCTGGCGTCCCAAGCCAGTTCTTAACCATCATGCCACTCGGCCGGCCCTACAATGTATAATTTTTAAGCTTCCTTCTGACTCTAGAATTCTATGATCCAAAAGCACTTTTATCCCCATAGCTCTGAAATTTATCAATAAAGAATAAGATTAGATTTTGCTTCTTTATTCTGCAGTGGGGCATAATGGGACAAAGCACAGGATTTAGGGACAGAAGATCTGGGATGGAGTTCCAACTCTATCATTTACTAACTCTATGACCTTTGGTAAGTAACTCAACTTCTATGAACCTCAATTTCTGTTACATGGGCTAGGTTATTACCATCTTACAGACTTATTGTAAGCTAGCAGGAGTAAAAGTATACGTCAGTGAACAGCTGTATAAATGTAAAGTGTTAACAGTCTCACTTGTAACGTTTTTTATATGTCAGGATTCTCAAAGATAGTGGAATCCACAGACTAAAATTAGATTTGATCGTAACCAGAAGGTTGAAAGCTAGACTTACAAAGAACTTCTGAATACTAGGGCGGGCTACTAGGAGATGCCATGAAATCTACTTCTCAGAAAATACCAGACATGCAACTATGTGGCACAAGTCAGTGAGCCTTGCCTAGAAGCACACCCATAGGCCCAATGACTATGGGAGGTCCCTTTTAACCCTGTGAATCTCTTGTGACTTGTTTCCAATGACACTGCACTATTACAATAGGTTATAGTACAACATATGAGTGCCAGTAGAAACATGGGCATAGGCAAAGAAAATAGAAGGGGCAAAGAAATGAAAGCCTCAAGTCATATAACCTTTTCTTCAGTCTCCACAGCTTAAGAAAACCAGTTAAACATACTGCAAAAGTATGTGTATATCATACAGTGAAGACAGCCATGTGAAGACAGACATAGAGATTGGAGTTATGCTGCCACACACCAAGGGACACCAGGGGTTTCCAGGGACCACCAGGAGCTAGGAAGAGGCAAGGAAGGATCCTCCCCTGAAGCCTTCAGAGGGAGCATGGCCCTGCCTATACCTTAATTTCCGACTTCTAGCCTCCAGAGCTGTGAGAGATCAATTTCATTTTTTTAAGCCACCCAATTGGTGGTAATTTATGAGAGTCCTAAGAAACTAGTATAGTTCCTGATAAATTTCAATCTCTAATATACTGTTAAAAGCATTGTAATAGTAGTAAACAAGCACAGACTTCAGTGTCAGATGCACCTGGGATCAAATCTTGATTTTGCCACTTATATATGACCTTGGGGAACTTAACCTCACTAAGGTTCACTTTCTTTCTCTGAAAAATGGGGTAACAATAGCTTCCTTTCATGGTTGTTTGGGACACTAAACAAGATGATGTAGTCTCTTGGCACAGTGCCTGGCACATGAGAAGTACAAAATAAATAGTGGATACTATTATTATTATTGTTATCAACATTGGAAAGGACCTAAGTGCTCTTTCTTCTAAGAAGCATAACAGTTCAGGACTATAATTCCTACTACTGCCCTTGTAAATATATTGTCAAATTCCATGCACTCATGTCACGTCCAGCGTGGCAAGGGCAAATGGGTCTCGTGAGGAGCGACGCAGATTGAATAAAGTCAAGAGACAAAAGTTAGATTTGAGCGAGACCAAGGGACTCAGCCAGAGAAGACTGAGCCCTAAATGGGGTCAGCGCATGGTTTTTATTAAGAATCTTCAAAGAAGTAAAACTGCTGTCAATCAATTAGCAACTCTGTGTGATTTGTGTGCCTTAAGGCCTCTTTTCATTAACATATCCCATTGTGTTCCAGCAAATGCTATACCTTCACACTTCCGGCCACATAGCCCCAGAACACTTGTTACTGTGTCCTCCCAGGGGAGATAACTATTATCATTCCGATAGGTCCCAGTCACCTGAGACACTCCCTCAGAGAGATTAGTGCCTCACCGAGGCACTCCCTCCTAAATAATAGGGTTAGAGGCTAATGCAGGGGGGTTGGTATTGGAATTGGCTGTAATGCAACACACTCATATTTTGTAAGTAGAACAACTGAAACCCAAAGAAATAAAATGTGGTGACCTAGTCATAATACTGATTCTAGTGCACAAAAAGGACTAAAGCCCAGATCACCCGAACCACCATCCAGAATATTATATTTTATCCTTGATTATATGGAACTCAGAAATTCTGTTTTTAAGACATGCGTCCATCCAGTATGCTACAGAGAAAACAATTGTAAGAAAATCACAATTGTAAGAAAGTTTTTGTAAGACGAGTACATTGGTTTACATAGACTGTTTCCCATTTTGGCCAAAGAGCTGCTAATAAATAGCTCTTGTGCCTTATAATTCAATTCATAGTATCTTAGACTTATTAGAATAAATCAGGTGTGAACTACTTGGAAAAAAAAACCGACATGAGTCCATGCCTTCTTCCATAGACCATACTATACAACATAATGATAATGTATTTATTTTGCTTTCATTAGAGTATTTTGTGTGGATGATCTCGTTCAGCATCATACTATCTCTATTTTGAAGATCTTGACTGGAAAATCTTCCCTCCTCTCTCTATTCCTTAAGGAGGATCTGAGATAAACTGGAAGTTAGAAATTTAGTAGGGTTCAAGGATGGGTGGGGCTAAGGGATGAATTTTGGAATGAGATTAGGCACAATCTGTAAGACAATCCACATAAAATCAAGACTAATGTACTGATTAAATTGATTAAAATCATTTTAAGCAAAACTTTAATGCATTCTCTGAGAATTCATTTTAATTTTCAATGATTTGCATACTAAATTATCTGGTTTCTCTTTTAAAGTTAAAAATGGTTGTAATTATTTAACTTTTTAGAAATAGATGCAATTCATAAATAATAGAACTCTTAAGAGCTGAACTGTGACTTCCCTCCCCCTGCCACCTCTCAAATTCATATGTGCAAGTCCTAACCCTCAGGACCTCAAAATGTAACCATTTGGAGATGGGGTCTTTAAATAATTAAGGTAACATGAGGTCACTAGGGTGGGCCCAATCAATAAGACTGGTGACCGTATGAGAGGAGGAGATGAAGACACAGACACACACAGAGGGATGACCATGTGAGGACATGGGGAGCAGACGGCCGTCTGCACCTAAGGCCCAGGAGAGAGGCCTTAGGACCAGCCCTGCCCACATTTTGATCTTGGACTTGTAGACTCCAAAATTTTGAAAAGCTTAATTTCTGTTTAAGCCACTTAGTCTGTGGTACTTTAGTATGGCAGCCTGAGCAAATGAATACAAGAACTTATTCAGTTTTCCATTTGAAAATCCAGAGCATGGAAATAACTGCTTTGTGTCAGCTTGCTGATTATACTAACCTTAATTTATCGATGATATATTAGATACCAGGAGTATGTGAGGGAAAATGTTTGGGCCACAGTATGATCTTTTCTACTCACCTCCAAACTGTATAGGAAAATCTCAGTTAGGTTTTGAAAAGTTATCTCAGTGATCTTAATAATATACTATTTTGTATTTATTATTGTAAAATTCCTTTATAATGAGGATTTTGGGGAGCAGACAAAGGCTTTATTTAGAGGCTAACCCACTTCTAAAAGAATATTAATCATGATATTAATATAATAATCATTGTTATAGGTATTCTTACATATAATAGAATAATTATTAATATACTAATTAATAATATTTATATCATTGTTATAAAAATAATGCTTGTTGAAAATTCAATAAGGAAAGATCAGCCAGAGTGTAGCCAATTCTAGGTTTCAGAGTTATGATTTGAGTTTATCTTCTAGCTGTGCACCTAATGACCCTGCTTTCAGTCATACAGCCTGTAACTCCCAACACATTTAAGTATGGCTGTGAGGAAAATTAAAATATTAGGCTGGGAAGTCAGACTAAGTAGCTATCTATTATACTAAATGTTAGAAAAACTAAGATGAAAAGACATGAAAGGAAAAGGCCAATTTTATTTATTTGTTTCTCTATTTAGAGGTTCTTAGACTAAGTATTTTTATTATTACCAGGTAACAGGTGAAAGGACCAGAGGCTCAAAGATAACTATGGTTCCTTAGCTAGTAAAGAGTCATAATAAAAATTACTTCAAGTGCACTGCTCTAACATGTTTTAGGTGCCTGTAATGCTCATTAAAGCCCTATGAAGTAAGCATGATCATATGTCCATTTATGGATGAGAAAACTGAGTATAGAGAGTACATTGGTTTGCTAGAGCTGCAATAACAAATTGCCACAAACATGCCCCTTCCAGACTCTCAAGGAGAGATTCCAGATCTTGTCTCTTCCAGCTTCCTGCATCTGCCTTTGTTCCTTGGCCTGTGGCTGCATCACTTCACCTTGGAAAAGGCTCATTTTAGATCTCTTTATTATTTTGTTTTTGTCAGGTTTATTGAGATATCATTTACACACAATAAGAATCATCCTTTATAAATGCACAGGTTGACAAGTTTTGACAAATGTATATACTGATGTAAACACCACTAGCATCAAGATATACAATATTTACATTACCCTCAAAATATTCTCTCTGGTCCGTTTGCAAGCAATCCTCTCGTTCTCCAACCTGGCAATCACTGATCTGTTTTCTGTCTCTGTAGTTTTACCTTCTTCAGAATGTTGTATAAATTGAGCCATAAGATATGGAGCCCTTTATATCTGACTTCTTTCACTTAACAATACGCTTTTAAGATTCATCCATGTCAGTGTAAGTAGGAGTACTTTGTTCCTTTGTATTTCTACATAGTAGTCTATACTATGTATGTTTAACGTTATGAGAAACTACCAAACTGTTTTCCAAAACAGTTCTACCATTTTGCATCCCCATCAGTGACACATGAGAGTTCCAGTTGGTCTACATCTTCGCTGTCACTTGTTGTTTTCAGGGTTTTGAAAACCATTCTGTTGTGTATGAAGTGGTAATTCCTTGTGGTTTTAATTTGCACTTCTGTAATGACTGATGATAGGCATCTTTTCACGTGCTTGTTTGCCATATGCATATCTTCTTTTATGAAATGTCTGTGTCTTCTGCCTGTTGTTATAGAGTTGTCTCATTATTGAGTTGTAACTTTAAATGTTCAGATACAAGACTTTTTGTTTTTAAGCAAATATGATTCCTCTCCAGGGAGCAAAATTAGGATGGATGTGAGCGAGTTACCAGGAGGCATATTTCTGTTAGATATGAGGAAGATGTGTCTAACAATCAGAGTTATCCAACAACAGAATGGGCTGGCCCAAGAGTTGATAAGTTTCCCATTACTTCAGGTGTTCAAGCAAAAGCTGGGTGACCGATTATTAGGTATAATACAAAGCAGGTTTATATGTTGCAGAGAATATCAGACCAAATGGAATCTAAGGACTCGCGCAAATATAAAATTTTATAATATTAAAATAAATCAAGTCAACATCATACTAATGAGTTACCAGATTTATTGGTTGCACCAACAAAGATAAATACATTCTGATGAAACCAAGCTGAGATTTTGATAACAAGTCATGTGTATACATTTTTTGGCACCCCCAGTATGTGTGTGTGTGTCTGTCTGTCTGTCTATCTATCTATCTATATGGAGAGAGAGAGAGAGAAGAGAGAGAGAGAGAGAGAGAGAGAGAGAGAAACACAAAGTTGAGAATCATGGTGCCTATCCATAATTCAGTAACACACACTGCAGTATGAAATGTGGCAGGGGTGTGGTGAATTGCATTTCTCTGATGATTAGTAACATTGAGTATCTTTTCATATGTCTGTTAGCCATCTGTATGTCCTCTTTGGAGAAATGTCTATTCAGGTCTTCTGCCCATTTTTTTCTTTTTAAGATTTTATTAGGGAATTGGGGGAGGGGAACAGTGTTGGGGAATCAGGGAAGGGGAACAGACAAATTGCTGTCCTTTTGTTCTTCAGTCTAGTTGTGGAGGCTGTCGCTTCACTGGCCCATGTTGGTGTTATCATTGCGCTCTTCCCCGGTGAGGCAGTCGCTCGCCAGCCAATGGACGGCTGCTCACGGCGGCTCTTGGCAGCTCATGAAAGCTCACGCCCCTGCCGGCCAGCCCCACTGCATCCTACACCATCGCCGGTGACTCATGGCAGCCCAGCTCCAGGTCGAGCTGTTGTTCACCACCTTAGCTGTAGAGGGAATGGCATCACTGTCCCTCATGTGGGATCTGAACTGGGGCCCTGCTGCCCAGAGCTGGCGTCCCAAGCCAACTAAACAATGTGCCACTTGGCTGGCCCCCCTGCCCATTTTTAATTGAATTGTTTGGTCTTTCGGGTGTTAAGTTGTAGGAGTTCTTAATGAATTCTGTATATTAACCCCTTATCAATATATTATTCTCCCATTTGGTAGGTTGTCTTTTCGATTTGTTGATGGTTTCCTTTGTGTTCAGAATTTAGCATTGTAACTTGTTTCTGTCACTGTGTGGGGGAAATGTAAGAATTAATATTTTATAGTAATACTAAAAAAATACTTGGTAATAGGAAAACAAAATAGAAATTTGTTGTTGAGCCTTATGTCTTTCTCAACTCTTAGAAATGGACAAAGGTGTAGTGTAAACACTGTGTTTTTTTCTTAAATTTCAGTTATCTACCTCATATTCTACCATGCCATCTTTGTGTTCTTTACCTGGACCTACTGGAAGTCTATTTTTACACTCCCACAACAGCCAAACCAGAAGGTAAGACTAATGGTTACTTCATAAAGGCTAAAAACAGAGGAAAGCAGAAATGTCAATAAGGCAAGAAGAGGGCAAAAAGAGGAGCAAAAACCCTTCCATTATAAAAGAGAGATTCGAAATGATCTTTAAAAATGACTCTGAGTGTTAACCGTAAATTAAGGGGCGGATTGTCTGTTGAAGGAGTTCATGAAATCACCAGCCATGGGTATGTTTAAAACTAGACAAGCACTACCTGCATTGGTACTATAATTAGAGAAACAAGAACCCACTTGGATTCTGAAAACTCATCTACTTCAATTCTATGAAACTGTATTATTTTGGAACCCAGTGAGACTCTGGAAGACCACCCTTAGGAAAAAAGTTACAATAGTTAAATTGATCATTTTCAAACTGTGCTCCTTTGAATCAAAATGTTTCATGCAATATTTGGGAATGTTTGTCAAAGACTTTGGAATCATATCAGGCATTCATAACGTGACTAATGTAGAACAGATTAGGTTCCAAAATAGAAAAATTTTAAAAAACCCAAAAAACAATGGAAGAGATTTTACCAGCCTCCAAACATTAGGGGAACTACTGATTTAAATTTTACCATTTATGGAATCAAAACGGTACATAAGAAAAATAAAATTAAATACAAAGTAAGGCAGTAAAGTAAGAATTAAGAAACACAAAAGATAAGCTATAAAAGAAAATAAATAGCAAAATTGTAGAAGTTTTTTCTTATGAGTAATTACTTGAAATATAAGTGAATTAAGCTATCAAATTAAAAGGCAGATATTCACATAACAGATAAACATTATCACCTATCTTTATACTGTCTACAAATGACTCACTTTATTTTTCAATTACAGTTGACATATTAACTATATTCCCTATGCTATACCTTGCATCCCTGTGACAATTTTGTAATTACCATATGATTTCACTTACATGTAGAATCTAAACAAAAGAATATATGAACAAACAAAGCAGAAACAGGCTCATAGATACACAGAGCAAAATGACAGTTGCCAGATGGGAGAGGGTTGGGGGCTGGGTATAAACGGTACAGGGATTAAGAAGTACAAACTGGCAGTTACAAAATAGTCATGGGGATATAAAGTACAGCACAGGAAATATAGTCAATGATGTGGTAATAACTATGTATGGTGCCAACTGCATACTAGATTTATTGGGGGGATCACTTCTTAAATTATATAAATGTGTAATCACTATGCTGTATACCTATACTTGAAATTAATAGAAAATAATATTGAATGTCAAAAGAAAGAAAGAAAGAAAGAGAAAAAAATATTGCCAAAACCAGTTAGACAGATACAAAAAATGGATACACACCCTGTATTTGTGGATTGGAAGAGTTAATATTGTTAAGAATGTCATTACTACCCAAAGTAGTCTACAGATCCAATCCAATCTCTATCAAAATCCCATGATATTTTTTTATGAATAGAAAAATTCCACCTTACAATTCATAAGCATTCTCAAGAAACCCCAAATACCCAAAACAATCTTGAAAAAGCCAAAGTTTGAAGTCTCACATTTCCATAGTTCTAAGTTTACTACAAAGCAACAGTAATCAAAACAATGTGGTACAGACGCAAAGGCTAATGGAATAGAATAAAGAGCCCAGAAATTAACCCTTTCCTATATGATCAGATGATTTTTTTGACAAAGGTGCCAAGATCTTTCAATGGGGAAAAGATGGTCTTTTCAACAAATGGTGTTCAGAAAACTGGATACACATATGCAAAATAATGGAGCTGGATCTTTACCTTACACCATATGCAAAAATAAACTCAAATGGATTAAAGACCTAAACCTAAGAAGCTAAGATTATAAAACCCTTAGAAGGAAACATTGGAAATAAGTTTTGTGACATTGGATTTGTCATGGATTTCTTGGATATGACACCAAAAACAAAAGTAAAAAAGTAAAAATAGATAATTGGACTATTTCAAAATTTAAAAACTTCTGGACATCAAAACACAACCAACAGAGTGAAAAGGCAACCTATAAAATGGGACAAAATGTTCACAACTTATATATCTGGCAAGGGGTTAATATCCAGAATATAAAAGAACTCTTACAGCTCTACAACAACAGACACCCTCCCAACAACCCAATTTTACAGTGGCAAAAGACTTGACTAGACATTTCTCCAAAGAAGATACACACATAACCAACAAACACATGGAAAAATGCTCAACATCATTAAGCATTAGGGAACTATGTATCAAAACCACAATGAAATACCACTTCACATCCATTGGGATGGCTACTTTTTTTTTTTAAGTAGAAAATAGAAAGTGTTGGTGAGGATGTGGAACAATTGGAACCCTTGTGTGATGGTGGCAATATATAATGGTGCAGCCACTATGGAGAACAGCATGGTAGTTCCTCAAATAATTAAAAAATAGAACTACAATATGATCCAGCAATTCCACTTCTAAGTATATACCCAAAAGAATTGAAAGCAGGATCTCAAAGAGATACTTGTACACATATGTTCAACATTTGTTCATAGATTATTCATGATAGCCAAAGGTGGAAACAACCCAAATAATCATCAACAGATGAATGGAAAAACAAAATATGATATATAGATACAATGGAATACAATAGATACAATTCAGCCTTGAAAAGGAAGGAAATTCTGACACATGCTACAACATGGATGAACTTTGAGGACTTTATGCTAAGTGAAATAAGCCAGTCATAAAAAGATAAATACTGTATGATTCTACTTATATGAGGTACCAAGAGTAGTGCAATTCACAGATACAGAAAGTAAAATGGTGGTTGCCAGGAGCTGGTGGGAAGCAGGGTTGGGGAGTTGTTGTCTAATGAGTATGGAATTTCAGTTTGGAAAGGTGAAAAAAGGACTGAAGAATGACGGTGGTGATGGTTGCACAACAGTGTGAATGTATTTAATGCCACCAAGTAAAAATGGTCAAATGACTTGAATAGACATTTGTTTAAAGAATATATACAAATGGCCAACAAGCACATTAAAAGATTAGTCAACAGAGAAATACAAATCAAGACCACAATGCGATACCATTTCATACCTTCTAGGATGGGAAATAAGGGAAGGAAGAAAAGGGAGGGGGGGGGAAGGAAGAAAGAAAATAAACAAAATTGGAAAATAACAAGTTTTGGTGTGGATGTATAGAACTCGGAATCCTCATGCATTGCTACTGGGAATGTAAAATGGTGTGGCTGGTGTAGAAAACAGTTCTGTTGTTCCTCATAAAGTTAAACGTAGTATTATCATATCCAGCAATTCTTCTCTAGGTTTATATATTCAATTGAAAACAGGTGTTCAAACAAAGGTTATACAGAATTGTTCATAATGCATTATTCACTATAACCAAAAGGTGGAAAGGACCCAAATGTCCATCAATGGATGAACAGATAAATCAAGTGCGGTGTGTCCATACAATGGAATATTATCCAGCCATAAAAAGGAACATATTACTGATACATGCTACAACATGGATGAACCTTGAAAACATTCTGCTAATTGACAGACCAGACACCAAAGGCCACATGTTGTTTGATTCCAGTTATATGAAATATCCAGAAAGGAAAACCTAATGAGACAAGAAGTAGATTAGTGGTTGCCAGAGTCAGGGGATGGAGGGGATAGGAAATGACTCTTAATGTATATGGGGTCTCCTTTTGGAGTGATGAAAATATTCTGAAACTAGATTGTGGTGATGGCTGCACAACACTGAATAGGCGGTTGGACAATTAAGTTTGTGAACTCATCCTAGAAAAAGTGCTACATACCTCATTGCTGAATATCACTACGTATATTTGAAGTACTCCCCTTGGGAAGCTATGCATGGATGCCAGCGCCTAGTCCACCCTGCAAAGCAATTTTAGAACACTTTTCCTGGAATGGCCATCAGAGCTGTCATTGTATTACCCTTGATGTCCCGAATGTCATCAAAATTACTTCCTTTCATTATTTCCTTTAACTTTGGGGAGAGAAAGAAGTCATTTGGGGCCAGATCAGGTGAGTAGGGAGGGTGTTCCAATACAGTTATTTGTTTACTGGCTAAAAACTCCCTCACAGACAGTGTTGTGTGAGCTGGTGCATTGTCGTGATGCAAGAGCCATGAATTGTTGGCGAAAAGTTCAGGTCATTTTCATCTAACTTTTTCACAGTCTTTTCAGCACTTCCAAATAGTAAACTTGGTTAACTGTTTGTCCAGTTGGTACAAATTCATAATGAATAATCCCTCTGATATCAAAAAAGGTTAGCAACATCATTTTGACTCTTGATTTGGACTGACAGAACTTTTGGGGTAGTGGAGAATTGGCTGACTTCCACTGTGCACTTTGACGCTTTGTTTCAGGGTTATAGTGGTACACCCATGTTTCATCAGCAGTGATAACACAGCCCACAACATCGTCTTGCCTCTCAAAAGGTCCTGGCTAACTTCGACTCTCCTTTGCTTTTGTTTATCGACGAGCTCCTTCGGGACCATTTTTGCACACACCTTTTTCATGCCAAGATTTTCAGTGAGGATTTTCCTAACTGTTTCTGTATCGATGTTTACTTGGTCTGCTATGCTTCTCACAGTCAGATGGCAATTTTGACACACAATTCGATGAACTTTTGCAATGTTTTTGTCAGTTCTGTTCATTACTGGCTGCCCTGACCTCTCTTCATCAGTGACGCATTCTCTCCCCTCAGAAAAACATTTAATCCATTTGTATGCAGCCATTTTCTTCATGGCATTATCCCCATAAACTTGGACTAACATGTCCCTGATTTCACTTCCGCTCTTGCCAAGTTTAACAAGAAATTTAATGTATGTTCATTGCTCTAATTCAAGCTCAGACATTCATATGACGACACACAAAAATGCAACAATGATGAACGCCACTCAGCAAGACACCGCCACACGTTGACAGGAATACAGCTGTGAGACACTGATATTCCAAGGTTATGAACCTTACCGAACTGTTTGTACAGTACTGCCAAAGTCAGTGCAGTGTGGCAAGTTCGTGAACTTAATTGTTAGACTTTCATATAGTAAATGGCACTGAATTGTACACTATAAAATGTGTACCTTAAAATGGAATTTTATATTATTAAATTTTAGCTCAATGAACATAATTTCCCCCTTCACACTTTTTATGAAGCTTGTAGGCCAGTACAAAGGATGAGTGTGTGGGAATGGCATAGATCTAAACCGGGTGAGATAATGACAGGATTTAGATAAGCACTGCAAATGCCTTATATTTAAGACCACATGTTTATCATTTTTAATTGGTAAAAAGAAAAGGTGAGTCTTTGGGGACTATTTGATAGCCACCATATTAATAATTTCTCTTATACCAACTATACTCCAGTCTGTCACCTATTGTCCCACCCAAAATCCATTCACTGGCTCATTGCATTCTAATCCCCAAAAAGGCTTGGTCAGTGCCAGAAATTGGGTGTGTAGGCATGGCATCTTATTCCAAACCAAAGCCAACTTGTTGAATAACCACAAGGTTTTCATCACATACAAGGAATTACAGCTCTGCCTCTGTCTTTCAAGCAGACAAGACAGTTATATTCCCAAAGAAATCCCCCAAATTAAAGGGCTGCCCAGGGGCCAGCTGGGTGGTGCAGTTGGTTAAGAGCACAAGCTCTGAGCAACAGGGTTGCCAGTTCGATTCCCACATGGGCCAGTGAGCTGCACCCGAGCTGCCGCTGAGCTGCCAACGAGCAACCGGATGGCTCAGCTGGTGAGAGTGTGTGCTCTAAGAACAAGGTTGCTGGTTTGACTCCCGCATGGGATGGTGGACTGCACTCCCCACAACTAGATTGAAAGTGGCGACTGGACTTGCAGCTGAGCTTGCGCCCTCCACAACTAAGATTGAAGGGCAACAACTTGACTTGGAGCTGATGGGTCCTGGAAAAAAACAACGCTCCTCTTCCTCAATGCCCCAACACTGTTCCCTTCCAATTTCCCAATGAAAAAAAATCTTAAAAAAAGGGGGCTGCCCAAAGGTGCTACTTTTAATAATCAAAATTAAGAAGAATTGTTAAAAACTTCATACTTTTGAGTCAGTCAGTAAATTTTCTTGTAACAAAACAACATACCCAGTTGTTTTTATATTAAATTTACATTATTTATTTACTATTTTATAACATTGATCTATAGCCTTTTGGTTAGGAAAATACTTAGTTGTGTGCATCTGTCTAGTTTATCACACAATCCTTAGCATCTGGGACCCCACCCATTAAATGCCCATACTGCACCATATTTTTCATAACAACCAAAAATGCCCCTACACATTTCCATATACCCCAAGGCAGAACTCAATTCTCATTCTACCTAAGGATAGCATGATACCATAAAAACACACCACTAGGTATGTTGCTTAAAATAGTGTTTGATTCTATGCATTTCAGGTTTTTTTTAAAAGATTTTATTGGGGAATTGGGAAGAGGGTAGCAGCGTTGGGGAATTGTAGAAGGGAACACACAGGTAGAAAAATTGCTGTTTTATTCTTCAGTCTAGTTATGGAGGATGTCGCTTCACTGGCCCATGTTGGTATGATCATTGCGCTCTTCCCAGGTGAGGCAGTTGCTCTCCCGGCCACTGGACAGCCACTCACAAGGGCTCACGGCAGCTCACGCTGGCTGCCAGCCACTTACGGTAGCTTACAGCAGCCCACTGCAGCAGGGGCTGCAGCCTACGCTGTCGCTGGCAACTCAGGGCAGCCCAGCTCCCGGTCAAGCTGTTGTTCACCATCTTAGCTGTAGAGGGCAGCGTCACTGGCCCTCATGTGGGATGCGAGCCGGGGCCCTGCTGCTCAGAGCTGGTGCTCCCAAGCGAGCTTTTAACCAGCTGAGCCACTCGGCCGGCCCTATGCATTTCCAATTTTTAAAGTTAGATACACTTCAATTATCTTAAATGCTTTATTATTTCTTTTATTATTTTATTGATGTATAACATACATACTCTAGTCCAGCGGTTCTCAACCTTTCACAGGGGTCGCCTAAGACCATTGGAAAACACATATTTTCGATGGTCTTAGGAACTGAGACACTGCTCCTCTATTCATCTCCAGGCCCACTTGCAGATATGCCCACATATGAGTACCCGGCAACCCCTGTGAAAGGGTCGTTCGACCCCCAAAGGGGTCATGCCCTACAGGTTGAGAACCGCTACTCTAGTCCAAGAATGAAGCTGTCAAGAGAACAATTTGATGAATTTTTACCCATATATAGAGGGTGCTAAAAAAATGTATACACATTTTAAGAAAGGAAAGAACTGTATTAAAATTTTAATCTTCAATATGTACCAATAACAAAAGATGAATACAAGTCATGTGTATACATTTTTTGGGCACCCCCGGTATACACCCATGTAATAATAAGCCATGTTAAGATTTTGAGCATTTCTAAAACCTCAAAAATCTCCTTTACGCCCCTTCCCAATCAACTTCCTCTGCATAGACTTCTATCACCATAGATTAGTGTTTCCTGTTTTTGACCATCACAACAAAATCACAGTATACATTATTTTGTGTAAGCTTTGCAATCAGTATAATGTTGTCCAGATTCATTCATGTTGACGCATATTTCATTTGTTCACCCCCTTTTGCTGCTATTAGCTACTCCCTTTTATTACAGTTGGTTTTTCACTCACCAAGTGGAGGACACTTGGGTTGTTAATTTTTTTCTATTATGGATAAAGCTGCTATGAACAACTTTGTACATGTGTTTTTGAACACACACATGCATACATACATGCGCACACTCATTTCTGTTGGGTATATAACTAGGAATGGAATTGGTGAGTCATAGGGCAGGCATATATTTAGCTTAAGTAGATCATGCCAAACAGTTTTTCAAAGTGGTTACAGAAATCTGCACTCCCACCAAGATCTTCTGTTCATCAAAATGCTTCCATAATGGAAGTAAAAAAGAAAAGCCACAGACTGGTAGAAAATATTTTGTAAAGGACTAGTATCCAAAATATTATAAAGAAATCCTACCAATCAATACACAAAATACAACCTCCTTGTTTAGTGGACAAAAGGCTTCAATAGGCATTTTACAAGAAAATACCCAAATGGCTACAAATTCCTGAAAAGGTGCTCAATATCATTAGTAACCATGGGATGGCAAATTAAAATCACAGTAAGATGCCACTATACACTTTCTAGAATAGTTAAAAATATTGGCAATATGAAATATTTTAAATGATTTAAGAAATTGGACTTGTAAAAGAGACTTTTAATTTGTTATTATCTAGCACTTTTACACCAACTTGTGAAGTAGGTATTATTGCCATCTATTTTACAGATGAAGAAAGTTAGATGGAGAGTGTTTGATTTTTTAAAAGTGATTCTTTAAGTATTAAATGGTAGAGATGAGGTACAAACCCGAGCAATCTGAACACAGGTCCTTCTCTTTTTCACCTCTGCATACCCTTGGCCCAGACAGAAGAAAGCTTTCAGGTCTGTATTACTTTGGGGAATTGCTGGTGTGTCTTTTGCAAGGTTAGCGAAGTATGGCACAAACATGGCAACAAGCTCCATACCAGACTAGAAAATGTCCGAGATCGTGAGAATGTCCAAATTTCTCCTCATCTGCAAGGTTAGAATATGCAGAGAATGTCGCAAGCAGTCTCATCCAGACTCTAGGAATGTCACCTATGAAAAATACTCACAGCTTAATAACAAGCATAGTTAATCATCAACAGAGTCCTGGCAGCAAGATGTGAGACATCCATCCGGACACAACATCATGGTCTCATGGAGTGGGAAGGGAAGGGCACAGGTGAACTGGGTGTGGGCCTTAGTTTTGCTACTTTCTGGTTGAGTTAGTGTAACAGTGCTCAAGGTACTTAATCTAAGTTTTATTTTACTTATAAAACAATGCCACCTATTATACAGAGTTATGAAGTTTGAGATAAAAGCCAGATAAGTTCATTGAGGTAATTATCCAGAGAAAGTACCCTGGATTTCAAGGGTAAGTAACAAAGCTTTTCTTCTACATAATTGCTGTTGTCATTTCTCATCTTTTCTGTCAACCTTGGAAAATAAAGCCTTGCCTCTCACTCTGCTTGCAGTTCCACTTATCCTATGCAGACAAGGAACGCTATGAAAATGAAGAGAGACCTGAGGTCCAAAAGCAGATGCTGGTTGACATGGCCAAGAAGCTACCCGTTTACACAAGAACTGGGAGTGGAGGTCAGTTCAGCCAAAGTCAGCTGGAGAAGGAAGCTCAGCATGGAGCGCAGAAAGTCAAGTCATACATATCCTCAGGCTAGCGCCTTTTTCTCCTCTCTTCTGAAAAATGCTATGGAGCTTTTTGTCAACACTTTACTATAAGGATTTTCAAACATACATCCAAGATGGAAGAATTATACACTAAACATCTGTATACCCACCACTACAGTCTACCAGTAACATTTTTCCATATCACTTTACCACACATCTGTCCATAAATCCATCCCTCTATCCATCATCCATAAAAGCGTCTCATTTTTGGTGCATTTTAAAGTAAGTACCAGATATCAGTACATATCCACCTAAAATTTTGTATCATTCTTTTTCTGAGTGAAATATATAGAGGGCGCCAAAAAGATGTATACACATTTTAAGAAAGGAAAAAACTGCATTAAAATTTTAATATTCAATATATACCAATAACAAAAGATGAATACAAGTCACATTTTACTTCTGCAATTGCAAGAGGGGCTCAAAATGGTTACCATCGGTGTAATTTTAATAGATTTTTCCTTTCTTAAAATGTGTATACATACTTTTGGCACCTTCTGTGCATATAAAAACATGCACAAATCTTAAGTGTACCACTCAGTGTTTCCACAATGTACACACCTGTGAAACCAAAACCTCTATAAACACCACCACACACCAGACACCTTCCCAGTAAATCCCACCCCCACCGCCACCAAAGACAACTGCTATTCTGATATTTTTCTGCCATAGATTAACTTCGCCTGCTGCCACATTTTATACAAATGGATTCATATGGCATGCACTATTGTGTCTGGCTTCTTTGATGGAGCATAATGTTTTGGAGACTTATTCCCATTGTTTCATATTCCATTCCTTTTATTGCTGAGTAGTATTTCACTGTATGAATGTATCATAGTTTGTTTATCCATTTACCTGTTGGTGCATGTTTGGCTTGTTTCTGGTGCTTAGCTATTATGAGTACTCTGCTATGAACATTTTTGTACAATGATTTGTGGAGAGATAGGTCTTCATTTTGGGGGGGTAAATACCCACTACAGACTTTTACTGTTAGTTTTCATCTGCATGACTAGAACAGTATGAGCTGAACCAATTCTTTGCCTTTTAATATTTGAAAACCGAAGCTCTTTTGCCAAATTACCCTAGTATTTCTACAAGGAAGATCCTTTTTCAAAGCTTTGGGAAGTTTACTGTTAGATATTTATTTTCATTTATCATTTATTTATTCAACAAATATTTATGATCTCATATAACAACTGAGGAAATTTTAATGTGCTCTAGGCATTAGATGGCATTAAGGATGTATTAATTTTGTTAGAGCATTAATGTCTTGGTGGTTATGATTTTTTAAAGGTCTTCAGGCAGCAATTACCATATTTCCACATGTATAAGACGCACCTTGATTTTGGGGCCCGAAATTTGAAAAAAAATGTATTCCATAAAGTTATTGAACTCAAGTTTTATTCATCATAAAATTCGTACAACTCCTCATCACTGTCAAAACTCCCAACATTAGCGTGTCCTCATCTGTGTCTGATGACGAATCACTGTCTTCATATATTGCCTCTCATGGCCGCCTCCTGCCGTGGCGTTTTCAGTAGGGTTTCTTCTTCCCGTAGCCAGTCTCGGATTGTTTTCTCAGTTGGAGGAGGACCACAGTTACATTCAGCAGCACGATTTCCGTTCACTTTTGCAAACTGGATCACTTTTAACTTGAATTCAGCACTGTACGAAAATCTTTTCTGAGCCATTTCTGGGCCGAACGTGGCAAAAGGTAACCTACCGTAATATACCGGTAACAAGTGCAAAACAATGAGTGCAAAGACAACAAGCATGAAAAAGCAGGAAATGCAAGTAAAAAAATCTACAACTACTGTATAAGACGCACCCAGTTTTTAGACACCAAATTTTTTTTACAAGGGTGCATCTTATACATGGGGAAATACGGTATATAATCTCAGACATTAGTGAACAGAATGATGTAATAGAGCAGAGGTTACAAACAGAGGCATATTGGGTGTGTTGGGTCCAGAGACAGATTTTGTTTCAGCTCTGTGTCTTTTAAAACTTTGTATTTGTTACTAATTTTTAACAATTCAATCTGCATTTCCAAATGGCAAAAATTAGCTAGAGCTGAGTAATAACTGCTCTCTTTAAACAGGGCATGAATTCCCAGGCTCTCCCAGAGTCCCACTGGTTGCTTCACTCACTACCCACTATTTCCTGGACCACTGAAGCATTTGTTTGCTACCCCCATGATATAGAATAATAGAGAAAGCTTCTCTGAAGAAATGTCATTTGATGTGAGACCTGAATAATAAAAAGGAATGGCACGTACAAAAGGCCCTTAAACACAGTAATACTCTATCAATAAACACAGAGAAAATGAGAAGGAAAGGAAAACACCTTTTCAAAGAGACATATGCCCCCCCTGTGTTCACTGCAGCACTATTTACAATAGCCAAGATATGGAAGCAACACAAGTGCCCATCAATAAACCACTGGATAAAGAAGAGGTGGTACACTTATACAATAGAATATTACTTGACCATAAAAAACAATGAAATCTACCATTTGCGACAACATGGGTGGACCTAGAGGGCATTATGCTAAGTGAAGTAAGTCAGACAAAGACAAGTACCATATGATCTCACTTTTATGTGGGATCTAAAGAACAGAATAAACAAAACAGAAACAGGATCATAGATACAGAGAACAAACTGATGGCTGCCAGAGGGGATGGGGTGGGAGGGGAGGGTGAAAAAGGTGACGGGATTAAGAAATACATTGGTAGTTCATGGGGATGTAAAGTACAGCATAGGGAATATAGTCAATAATATTGTAATAAGTATATACAGTGCCAGTTGGGTACTAGACTTATCAGGAGATCACTTCACAAATTATACAAATGTCCAATCACTATTCTATACACCTAAAACTAACATAATATTGTACATCAACTGTAATTGAAAAATAGAAACATTAAAAAAATACCTTTGACCTAAGGGAAATAAAGAAAAGAAGGTGGGAGGGATGATTTTTCTTTTTATATTAGACTACAGAGTGAAGAGAGCCCTGAACTAAGGGGTCAGAAAACCTGTCCTAGTCACAGCCCTGTCACTCACTCACTGTGTAACCTTGTACAAGTCACTTGATGATATGGCTCAGGTCTTTACTTCCTTTATCTGTGAAATGGTCACCTGAATGAATTGTTTTAGAATGTCTCTTTTATTCTCCAAATTGTTATTCTACCTCATACAATGCATCCTCTGGAAAGAGGAGATAAATGATCAATTCTAGTTTTTAGGTAGTAAAGTTGGAGCAAACAGAGGCTAAAAGATTACTCAAGCAGTTGACGGTAGTTTGTTTTATAATACCAAATCTTAGGATTAGATATCCAGACATAAAGCCTTTCCCCCTTACCTTCATGCCCCAAAAGGTGCTTTCAAGATTGATCCAACGGAAAAAATACATACCACGATTCTCTTATGCAGCCTGCCTTTTGCTTTGTCACTTGAAATGAAATGAGTTTGACTCCCTGTAATGAGTGTATAGCAAGACATCCAGAGAGGCTAGGAAGACATGTGGTGTCTCACTGAGTCCTAATCAGTGCTAACCACCTTATTTTTCCTATAGCTGTAAGATTCTGTGACCGGTGCCATTTGATCAAGCCAGATCGCTGCCACCACTGCTCTGTCTGTGCCATGTAAGTGACAGCCATATTTCCCCTGGACTGAGCTTGGCCACTGATGGTTTCCTAGACAACAATGTGACTGATCGTGACATGTAACCATGGCTAGATAAGAGCATTTCCTTTCATTCCTAATGAGCACATGCCAATCACCCTCACAGGCATGATGATTCAAACCATTCTAAAGATAGGAAAGAAAATTAAAACCCCATTTTAAAAAGAAATGTTTTACTTTAGAACCAATATTGATACATTATTTTTAACTGAAATCCATACTCAGATTTCCTCAGTTTTTTCCTAATGTCCTTTTTCTGTTCCAAAAGCCCATCGAGGACACCACATGACATTTAGTTTACCCATGACTCTAACAGAGTGTAGTCATGTTTTCTTCTGTGCTCTTATTAAACTGACTATTGAGCAAAATGAGGGGCATTATCCTGGACATTTTCTCTGTATCAATATCCTATTGTTCCTAATCTTTTTAAAAAGATGGCCTTCTAGGCATGTAACTTGCTGACAGTGTGATCCTATAAATTGCTGTGATTGTCTCATCCTAGGAATGACTGAGGAAACAATAGTTTTTGTTAGAGTAGCTATAGTAGAAATCTAGGAATTTACTGGTTCCATGTAAAAATACTGCTGAGACTTTGAGTTCAATGATGAGGTGTTGCTTCATTTCCATAGCTCTACTTATCATACTACATTTTGCTCCTTTTTAGGTGTGTATTAAAAATGGACCATCACTGCCCTTGGTAAGTTCCTTTTATTTAATTCTCTCCTCTAAAGTTGTAATATGCCTGTTTCTGCTATCCACTGGGCTTTGTATCTATGTGAGGGACATGGGAGGTTTAACGTTTTAAAGCAAGAATAAATATACAACCAAAGGCATGGTAGCGAATTCTTGGGGTAACAAAGCTAATGGTCTCTTGTCCATTAGCTTCAGTAAGGAATGAAATACAACACAAATAGTTCTACTTGATTTCACAGAATCAGTTCTGTTTTTTTGCTGTCTTGATGTTTCCAATACTCTAGATTGTTAACTTCAGCAATTCTCCAAATTTTGTATGTCTGACCTAGAGAGCCAGTCTGAAATCCTTTAGCTGAAGTAAGTCTAATTGGTTTTAACATCCAAGATCTAGGTCTGCTTGGGTGTGTCAAGAAACAGTCCAGAACTATTAGGTAGACCAGGTGTCTCTGTGCCTGTAAATGAAAGGAAAAACGAGTGACACATGAACTTGTTTTTCCAGTCTGTACCTATTAAGGGACTTTTATTCCTGTTGAGTTCCTACACAACGTGTGATGAAGCAGCAAAAGTCATGTACTTCCACTGCTTAGTTCACTTTATGTATCAGTGTGCTCTCCATAAATGGATCCTGATTTCACATCAGTTTTTCTCTTTTTTAGGGTTAATAACTGCATTGGATTTTCCAACTATAAATTCTTCCTTCAGTTCTTAGCTTATTCTGTTCTCTACTGCCTGTACATTGCTACAACGGTCTTCAGCTATTTCATCAAATACTGGAGAGTAAGTTATAAAACCCTGAAGGCTCCCTCCACCCCCTACCCGACCAAACGAACACACATCTACTTCAGTCTGTGACATTGTTCACCTCATCATTTTTTACATTTTGAAATAGCTAATACTGAAGTAACCAGAAAGGAAGGCACCAGAAGCACATTTCCCATGTTGAGTACTGTGAGATTCAGGAGGCTGCTATTTAAAGATGCCCAGTAAACGAGCATCTGCCATACATGAGAATCTTTTGAAGGCCTTCAGGAACCCAACCTCTTGACTCTTACTGATTATTTACAATGTACTTCTCTAGTCAAGCTTTAGAAATTCACATCTTATCAATTATAAATTTGAAACTAATTCTGAATCTCTAGTTTCATAAGAAAAAGGGTAACAAAGTACTCCCGCATTGTTAGAAAATACTAACGCCCTGTTGTAGGAACAGTTGAAAAATTCCTACTGGACAGAAAGAGACACTCATCTTCACATACGACCAAAATGAAATGAGGAGTCGTATTTGAACTTCATATGACGAACACTGGCTCTGTATCTGCTTCACTGCATCATTGTCAAAATCAAATGAAACATGTTGAAAGTACTTCATCTTTCAAAATATGATTCTAATAATTATAATAAAATCTAAAAAAACCCCTACTTTCATCTTTCTTCTACTTGCAGATATCAATCATATCCCATCTATTTCCAAAAGAATTGAAGGCAGATTTTCAGTTTACATATGTGTACAGGGTCTTCCAGTACCTGTGTAATGAAGTATGTTGCTTTGTTTTGTTTTATTTCATGCCCATGGACTCCAGGAGACATTCCCTCTACACAACTGCAGTATGACTGCTAAGATGTCATAACCATCCATGGTGAGGGTTGTCCAAACTGAACCTGAATAGCAACAGACAGATGTGGTGGGCAGAGATACTAGTTATTACTTTAGCAATTGCATGAGAGCCTTATAACAGGAATGTCTCAGCATGGAAAGGACGTGAATCCTATAGCCAGAATTTAGATTATGACAAATTGGAGGAAAAAATGGGAAAGGAAAGGCAGTAAGAATCTAAATAGCTGAAAATATTGAAATTACTAAATAGTGATTTGATCCCTACTACTGTAAAAAATTATAGTGATATGTGCTTTCCATTTTCCCTTCAACTTGCTTAATTCTGATGTTTAATACCTTTAAGAATCAGGAATTATATAATGGATATCAAAATATTCAACTCAGAGAAAAGAATAGGCAGAAATGAAGTTTTCTCATCAATTTTCCCCAAATACAAAATGTTTCACCATCTTGGCATTTCTTCTTTGGCCCCTTTCCACAGCACAGGATCCCTTATCTATTGCTCAGGTTTCTAGGACCTGTTTGGCATTTTATTCACACACTGAGCTACTGCCCTGAAAGTAAAGAAAATCTGTTGCATCCAATTCAGCAGGGAAAGTGTCAGCCTTGGTCTTCAGTACATACCTTACAGGGCCTTAACATAGTAAGCTACTGTTTAAGAATCACTCTTTACTCTCCTAACAGAGTAAATGAACGTTGTTGCATTTCATGCATTTTGCCTTTGGCCCTCATCTCAGGCAATAATCAAATACCACAATTATCTTGAAAGATAATATTTAGATATGAACTAATTACCAGAAATATCTCAGTATTCACAAGCAATATGAGGGGTGAACTGAGCTATGTCCTTTACTACACCCTCATTTTTTTCCAGCACAATATATTAGCTCATGTATGATAGATGACAGGCGAGGAAAGCTGTCTTGGCTTGCCCGCATAATGAAAAGGACATTGACAGTTGGAGCAATGCTTCCTTTCAGTCTCTCCAGCCAGAGCTCGGGACTTCTCAGCAAGAGGCATGGGACATGCTGAGGCCAGATGCTTCTTGCTCGTTTGAGTTTTGTGGACCTTTGAGAGATTTTAGGAAAGTCTGCAGCCTGAGCCAAGACAGGCCGCTTGTATGGAAAAGCCACTGGAAGCGGCTTGAAAGTTGGGTGGGGGTTGGGGTCTTAAGGAATCACGAGGGCAGGGTGAACGGTGTTAGCCAGGCTGATGGAGACTCACATATGGTGGCCACCTGTGTCTGCATGCTGGGAGGGGGGAAGGGCTCAACCAAGAAATAATGGCTTCTGCCAGCTCCTCCGCCCGGGAGGAAGCTGCCCCTCCAGCCCTCGTCCTGAGGCCAGATAACTCATTCCCTCCCCGTATGTCCCTGGTGCCTTTTGAGCTGCTGCCCCAGTATTGGAGCTCAGGGCCAGTGAGTCCGTCATCAAGTAAGTCCGTGTGTGGGCCCTTTAAGAGGAGCGCCTGGGAATGCAGCCGCCCTCCATCTCACCCAGCCACAATCTCTGCTGGTTTTGACAGCCGGAAGTTATGGGAACTTTTCTCCCTGGCACTGGAACCCTGGGCTGGGGAGCCTGGTCTGGCACTGGTACCACTTGCTCCTCCGGGAGGGGGGCAGGGGAACCTCTGCAGCCGAGATATCCCTCCCAATGTTTAATGGTCACACGCAGATGTGGGACCAACCCGTTCCACATCTCTGCCCCTCCTTCCACTCTCAAGGTGGTTTCTTCTGCAGGTCCTCAGTTGTAGGGCTTCGGCTCAGCAAGATTTCAGATAGTTCTCCAGACTGATGGTTCTATAATTTAGTTGTAATTTTGATGTGGTTTTGGGAGGAGGTGGGCATAATGTTTCTCTACTCTACCATCTTGACTGGAACCCTGTAGGTTTCAAAGTCAGAATTTGAATCTCTCTGACCCTAAGCTGAGTGATCTTAAACATGGCCCCATGTCTTACTGCCCATTACGACCCTGCTATGGAGAAGCTCTAGCCTCTTTGGAATAAAGAATTCAGAAGACCATCAGATCATGTCTCCCCTCTCAATGTTAACTTAGAGAGTAGCTACTCTGATAGGAAGTTGATCTTTGCCTTATAAAAAACTTAGTGATATACACCTCCTAGATGGGTTCATGAATCTCCTCACAGAGGCTATTAATTGTTTTAAGACTAAGAAAATAGTATTATTCCAGCAGTATTTCCCTGAACTGTTCCTGTTGGCTAGTGCTTTGAGTAATTTAGCTTGGTTATCTCCTTAGAAGGTAATTCGGAATGTAGGCCATCACCCTCTTCTAACAAAAAAAGTTAAATATAAAGTACTTTATCAAGGGACATCACAGTAGATAGCACTTCATAGCAATCCCTCTTGCCTAGCCACTTTCTTTTGCCTATTTAAACACAAAATATAAGAATTAAAATAAATATGAGCTTTAAAAGCTATAAAAATATACTAAAAAATTAGAAATTATGAAAGCAAAAACACAATCAGGGAAAAACCACTACAAACCTATATATGGAGCCTTTTTTATAAATTCAAAACAAAACAAACAAAAAACAAATTCAATTTGGGTGCCTAGGCCAAGGTTTTATGGCAGGATCATTTTAAAAGGAAGCTTCAGATAAAAGTTTCTTGGGGTAGTTATTTCCTGGGGAGCTGTGCCCCCGTGGATATTTCACCCAAACCATCCTTAGCTGAAAGCGTCTCACTGACTTACTTCCCCTTATCTTCATTCTTCCAAGATATACACTCTGGAAGATTCCCAATGTTTCTTAACGTCAAAATGGATAACAAATCTCCTCTCAGAGAAGAAAAAATCTATACTATCTGAATTTCTCAAGTGTTTCCAAGCCTTAACTTTCTTCTTCCAAATTAGAGTAGAACCAGATCCATTTCAATCAAGAATCACCTTTAACTTTATTACTTGAAAGCATTTAGAAATATTTCAAAAACGTTCATCACGCCCAAACAATGATCAATCAGCACAGGAAATGAGGAAATAAAAGTCATTTTTGCAACTGCTTAGTCCAAAATTGAAAATATTTCTAAAATTCTCTTCAGGACACAAAATGTTACGTGGCGTGCATGCTATAGGACTTTAGAAAATTCATTCTGGTCAAGGGCAGCATATAAAAAAAAGCTGCTGCCACATGGAGAATAAGATGTCCCAGCTAACTATAAAAATCTTTAGCTACCTACTTTTAAAATTGCCTGCAAAATACTGTTTGTTTTCACTGACTAAACATCTGTTTCACAGGGTGTAATATACCAGGACATTGTACTTCAGCTATAAAAAAACAACAAGCACACAAATTTTGCAGTAGCTTTAAAATCAGGTCATGGCAGATAGGTAGAAGATTTGAAAATTCTACCTATTTGTTTTAAGTTCCTACATATATCACCATGACATTTTCAACATACATATGTGTCCAAGGAAACATGACGTTTGAAGTATTCCAGAATAACCCACCTTGAGACAAGAAGATGAACCATATGACCTCAAAATCACCTCAAGCCAGTGATGTATAATCTGGAAATTAAATGGAGTATGAACTTTAAGACATGGTATAGCAGTTAGCATCTAAGTATGCCCTTTTCACATAACCTTCGTCTAACTGGCACATTCTACCCTCTATTTCACACTGAACTGCACTTAAGCAAAGATCCATTTTAGGCTTTCTGGGCTGAAAGCATATCCATACTGAGGTGTGCTCATCAACAGAAGGAACTGTTTTGTAAAAATTTTACAAAATTGATTTTTTAAATTACAGCAAGTCATTTTATACATACAAAAAATTACTAAATGATATAAGAAAAGCTAGCCAAGCCTTACCACTTTAATCTTTCGTTTCTGTTTATTATTTCTTTCCTAGGGGGAATTGCCCAGTGTTCGCTCCAAGTTCCATGTCCTTTTTCTTCTCTTTGTGGCCTGCATGTTTTTTGTCAGCCTTGTGGTTCTCTTTGGCTACCATTGTTGGCTTGTCAGCAGAAACAAAACCACCTTAGGTAAGACTGGATATTCAGACTGGAGAAAGCAACATATTAATGTATATCACAGTGACTTCTGGATTGTCCCCAAGGAAGGGAAAAACTTCCAATGAAGTATTTTAGCTGCAGTGAATGAAGCATACATAGTGAAGAGAGCAATAGTGAATGAACCCTCACACAAACCCAGAAATGACCATTCATTTTTATATTGGGTTGTCGGAAAAGTCATGACGTATTTTGTCTATGCTTTTCAAAGGTCATTTATTTATATAAAGAACAAAGATCAGGGCCGGCCGAGTGGCACATTGGTTAAGAGCTGGCTTGGGACGCCAGAGGGCCCCGGTTCAGATCCCACATATGAGGGCCAGTGACACTGCCCTCTACAGCTAAG